CACAGACCTTTCAACAATATATTACAAATAGGCAAAGTATCAAACGAGTGGAGTCAAGGCAGCATATATCCCATCCCCAAATCAAAATCATGGGAAAACAATATCAATATAATATGACTGATCATTCTACTTGAAACAATACAAAAAATTTTCACAAAAATCATTAACAACAGACTAGCTAAAATTTTTACCACTCACCAAATCTTATCTGAACACAACTGGGCAGCCCTCCCAGGTTGTAATACACAAGAATCTATTCATATAATTAGAGCAATCCAGGATGATGCAAAACAATATGGTAACAAAGCATGGATCCTGAACCTAGACATGGTAAAAGCCTTCGACTCAGTAAATATTCAAAGACTCAAACTAGCACTTTAATGAATTAGATGCCAGACACTATCATCCAAATCATCATAAACATCTGCGACAACAGACAAAACCATGTTATTACACCATTCGAACCATCACCACAATACACAGTAGAAGATAGAATCGATCAAGGAGACACTATATAATCCCTACTTTGGAGAATCTTTTACGACCCACTTCTATCCTTGATCTCAAAAACACGAAAGGGATACATCCTCACAACAAAAAAATAGAAGGAACCTATAGCACCACCAACTATCTCAATCCAAAATATCTCATGCCTAGCATTTATGAATAATACTATTCTAATAGTAAGCAGTCAAAAAGATTACAAAAAATAAATGATATCTGCTTAAACTTTTTCACAATAAATGACATTCATATCAACACATCCAAATCAAATCTTTTAGTTCTCAACTCAGCATATAATCCAAACAATCAGATCCTAATCTATAAACAATCAATTAAAATGCTTCCACCAAATCAAGCAGCTAGAATTCTAGAAATATACCTGGAAGGCAAAGGATCAAAAGCATATCAATAACATCTGATAAAAAAAAAATACTAAAATATACCAATACGATCAAATGAAAAACAATAACAGACAAACAAATCAGATATTTACATAATCAAGTCTGGACACCAATGGTAACATACCTTCTATCAGACATGGTTCTCACAGAACCAAACTACAACAAAATTATGAGTATCTTAAATCCCATTTACAAATATAAACTTAATTTGACAAAAACAGCACCCAACACAATCTTATACAATTCACTGAAATATGATTTCTTCCATTTCTGGGATAGACAACTACTACTCTATACCAACAATTGGTACAAAAGAATAAACAAACAAGATATTATAAGAAAAATCATCAGCATGTGTCTATAGGAAGCACAAAACAGATGGCAATCAATCAAATCTATAACAAACACACAATTCACAAACCCATTCTTAACTCAAGGACACGACTTTATACATGATCTTCTCTTTCTTCTCAGACAACATGGATACATAGGAATAGTACAAAACCTTCAAATCTTCAAAGAAACAGACACAACTATCAAAGAAATAATAAAACCAACATGGTACAATAAATACAGAAAACAGCTCACAACAAACTATATCCTTTTCTTGAATCAAGTCATCAACTATACAGGATCCAGATTAGCAGCATGGGTAGAAATAATAATAGCAAACAAGAAACCAAATAAAAAAATATCCACTTGATTCAAAAAAATCCAACAAAATTAAAAAATCTTAACCTTGATCAAAAACAGACTAACATACACACAAATCACAAAAATTAATCACAGATTAGCAATAGAAACACCAAATCAAGAAATCAAATGGACTGCATTACAAGATACCAACACAAATGTCATCAGCAGAAAGTGTGCCATTTAATAGAACACAATCAAACTACAACATTACATTAGAGCCAATAACAGCTACTCCTCCTTAAATAAATATGACAGGTGTCTCTTAAATACCTCAGGAAAACAAGGAGAATGCATCTTCTATAAAGAAAAGAACAGCTTGATCAGTATCACAGTGCACAAAAGCAAAACTAGCTCAAGAAACTCACCTTCTAAAAAACTCTGTCAAAGAAGTAGAATATCACCTGACAGTATCAACAACATTCTTAAAGACAAATTCTTACACCTGAATCTTCCACTACCACCAACTATCCTTAACAATCAAATAACAATTAACAAAACTATTATCAAAAGATATCTCAAGACAACAGAACGAATGATCAAGAAACTGACAATAATATGTCACAAAATAGAAAAACTCCATGAAATCTCAGTCTTCACAGATGGATCTCTAGACTCAAATCAAAAAATGGGATTTGATTGGCACATTACTCAAAGACCAGACATTAGTTTTCAAGAAAAAATAAACAAGTTTTCATCCTTCACAAGAGCAGAACTCACTGTGATACTCACTTTTCTCATAACTGCACCTGTCAACTGCACTATCACCATTTGCAATGATAGTCAAGCAGCCCTAGGAGCAATAAATAAGGCACAAATAAATCCAGTCAACTTGAGAACACTTAAAAACAAGAATCTAATCAACTCTATAATCTATATTATAGAAAATCAAAAACTTTTTATCATCTAGAAAAAAATTAAAGCTCATAGCAATGACAAATATAACGATAGAGCAGATCTCCTAGCAAAAGATGCAACTCTACCAGGAAAAGCACTTGAGATAAAATATATATCAATTAGAAGCAACATAGTAAATTGGACACAAGAATGAAATGAACACATCCTAGACAATACAATCACAACATCCATCAAAAATCTAATCAGTATAAAATACATTCTCAATTAGAGAAACCTTGATTACAACCTCACAACAATTGACAGTATCTTCACATTAAACGACATCGCATAGGAGGCCTTACTCATCAACAGACTACCTTCAAAACTTACAACAGGTCCAACCAGTCGAGAGGACTACAATAGTAGATCTTTCAGATACAGACTCTGGAACCTAAAACTACCTATCAAGAACAAACTGTATAGAAGAGTGGCAAACATATATATGGACAATCAATACTTCAACTATCAACAAATAGAAACAAACACATACTACATGATATGCAAAGGTAATGGAGCAGACATCTATAAAGAATTATAGCAAATAATTAACAAAGAAGTCAATAGCAAATCAAATATATCTATAAAGCACAACCTCAATAGAAAACTCAATAAACAAGCAAAACTCTAGACAAATGAAGTCAAGAATTACATAGCAAGATGAGCCCTTACAATGGACTTAATAAAGACTATAAAAAAATACATACTGGCAGAACAACATAAAGAAACTATTAAAAACATCGTCAATAAATTCATTAATGTACAACAAGAAAAATAGAATCAAAGGTGTGATAACTTTATATAATAGAAAAAGAAACACAATATTACCGCAAAAGACAAAAGGTAATGGCAACCCATAATCATAAAAAAGAATACACACAAATCTTGCATTCCAGGTATCAATGCACTTATAGCACATGCTAGCCATCACTGGATTAACTGAAACATAATCTATTCTTTTACAATAAAATTTTTATAGGATAGATAGAGCCTTGGCAAATTAGTTAAGTATATACCAGTACCTGGTAATAAGCCATATGGTAGGAAAATTTCCTTAGTAAGTTTACTTAGGTAGATAGAGTGATAAATTTGTATAAAATAAATTTATATATACTCATCATAAAAATATCTAATAAACAAAGTGTAAGTCACCTATTTAAAAAAAAAACAAAATAATTCATCTATATTTTGATTATTAAATTTTATCAAATTCAATAATAATTCAAATAACATATTATAATTTCAACTAATGTAAAGAATCTATGGAATCTCTAGAAAAGTTTAATCAAGAAAATATAAAAAAAAAAGAAGAAAAAACCTATATAAAAATTATTAAAGAATGGATTTATTATAGAATTAAATAGTTTGATTTTTAATTATAAATAGAATTTAAAATAATCTATAATAATGATTTGTAAATAATGATTTTACTAATTTAAAAACTTATCTAAATTAGCAAATAAGCAAAATATTATTTTATAATAAATACTTAGTATATAATATATTATATTGATCCAAATTTAAATAATTCAAATAATTTATTTTTATAAATACAGTATATATATAAGTAATAATAATTTATTAAAAAAATAAAATAAGTTTATAAAAATAATTTCACATGATATTTAAAAGATTAATTATTTTTTCTTAATATTAGAACTAAAGAAATTACAAAAAAATTTTTTTTTTTTGATTTATTAATAAATAAAAATATTAAACAAATTATATTTTTTACAAAATATTATTGTTTTAAAAGTTAAAATAAATTGGTTCTTAAATGACTTTTTAAATATTATTCTTTTAAAATAATTAAAATATATTAATACAATAAAAAGTTAACTATTATATAATAATTTATATAATATTATAGACATGCCATAAATAAAAAAATTTGATAATATATTTTTATTTTATTTATTTATAAAAAAATCTATTTACTAAACTTTCTTTTTATAGACAATTCTTTTTTGATTTGGGGGTGCATTGTATGCCTACATAGTCACACGAAGCCTAAAATCGAGTTTGGAAAATGTGATGCGTTATTTATTGAAAAAAGCTATGTGCGTTCGCAGTCAGACTCATTAAATGGATAACACGTCGAATTGGATTTTTAAAAAATCGGATTATTACAAATACACTCCGTCTCGCAGAGACGGAATATCAAAGGAAGACGAAGATTACAAAAGATCCAAAGGAGTCCGATTTATTATAGATGTGTCTCAATACTTACAACTGTAATTTATTTATTTTTTTTTTTATTTAATAAAAATCTACTTTACATTTCCTACGTAAAAAAGTAGCAATCACCTTAACTACGAAATAATAATTTTTTAGTCCTCAGATAGCAATTGCAACTGCCGCTACCTTCTTGCATCGATTTTATATGCGAAAAAGCTTTAAAGAGTTTCATCATTATGTATGAGTTCATTAATTTCACGGATTGGTGACTTTGAAAGAATTTAACAAGCAAAATCTGTCTTATAGGATATCGGTGGAACTTGTGTATTCATGGCATGTAAGACAGAAGAAGTTTCTCGGAAGATGAGAGAAGTGGCAATAGCATGTGCAAAATCAGCCCGAAAGGATAAACATTTAAAAGATGAAAAGGTCATTTTACATAAACCAATTCCAAAAGTACAACCTGCTGATGAAATGAGAACTTTAATTCGTGTATTATTTAACAGGAATTTGATAAATGGCATCATACAATCACAAAAAGAGAACCGACCATAGCCGCTACCTTATGCTTTGATCTTAGCGTAGAACACCCATATAAGTCCTTGGTTGAGTTTTATAATGGATCGAAGAATGCAAAAGGTATCAAAATTAATGTCCCCCCCCTTTTTTTTTTTCAAACAGTACTTCACATATAAGTATGTTTCTGAACACAGGTTACAAGAATGAGGATCTCGGAAATCTGTTTGGTAATGCCTGGGCACTTATTAATGATAGGTAGAATTTCTGTGAAATATATATACATTCATACTTAAATTGTGTTATTCTTACTGATTTCATCTTGAATTAATAGCTTCCTTACAACAACCTCAATTTTTTACAAGCCCAATGTTATAGCAAGTGCGGTCATTTTTATTGCATCAAAGATATGCGGCGTTCAGTTGAATGTTGAGGAGAAGTGGTGGAAGAAAACAAAATCTAGTATATACGAAATTGCGGGTACTTAAGAGATCTATCTGTTTCTTGCGGAATACATTTTTTTCTTATACATATTATATTTACATATGTAGAGGCAGTGGATGATATACTGGAGATTTATAAACTATGCAAGCCTAAAGTCGTCAAAAAGAAAAAGGTATACCTAGACTCTGCTATCGTTTGTGAGAGTTTTTTCCTGTAACTTATATTTGTAAATAAATATAAGAACGGTGAAAATTCGGAAGAATCCGGAAATCCGTTAGATAATACGGAGATTGAAAATTCAGTAACAATCTCGCAGAATTCTGATGTCAGCATTTCGGAGACACAAACTCCGAGAATAGAAAGTCCTGATGCTAAAGTTGATGAATTTAATAAGAATGAGGCTCCTATAGGAGGCGATGACGAAGTAGAGGATGGACAAATCTCAGATGATGAAAAAGCAAACGGAATAGAAGATGTAGGACTGGAAGTTAACGGACACGCCAAGATGGACTGGGAGGCTAACAAAGACTTGCCAACAAGTTGATCATGGATTGTATTCGTAAAATTTGTCATGCCGTTAAATTCTTGTCTGACCTGAACAATATAAATATTAATGGTTTTGTTTTCATATTTAATATAAGTTTCAGGATAACAAAATAGATTTTGACCAATAAATAATGCATAATTCAATGTTCATGATTTAAAACAGATTGCTTACAATAGAAAAATTATTATAATAACTCTGTAAATATACATAGGTTCAATATACTTTTAGTGTACGGGTTTCGTTTAAATTTTAAATTAATGATTGCATTTCACTTTCTATAAGTTAATTTTATACAATTCTTGTCAAAATAAATGTTTATATGAAATAAAAGTCATAATTTCAATTTTCAATTGAGATTTCTGTTTGGCTTATGCAATATATTTTCATCTTTAATATATAATTAATAGATAAAAAGGATCTATCACTAATTTATTTTCAAAAACCAAACTTATTTTATTGTTACACTTATTATAATATATTGAAATTAATTTAATTAAAATTCTTTTCAATTAAATATTACAATCAAAAAATTGTTTCTATTAATTATTCGATTAATATTATTTATTAAATTAGTATAGAAAAATAAAAAATTTAATATTTTTCAAAAAATCAAAATCAAATTTGAAATATTTTTTTTTTTGATAATATTTTTTAATAATATATTTATTTAATTGAAATAATATTTTATTTCTATTATTAATATTATAACTTATTTTTTATTGATTAATAAATAAATAAAACCAATATTATAATAATTATTAATCAAAATTATATTAATTAATAAATTATTGAATTTGATTAAATTTACTAATAAAAATATTAATAAAATATTAATAAAAATATTAATAAAAATTTTTTGATTAATATTATTAAGTATATAAAATTTTAATAAAATTTTAACAAAAAATATATAAATTAATTCAAAATTAAATTCAATAATAAATTAATAAAAATTTGTATATTATAACAAAAAATTTATCAAAAAGTTTATATGCTATTGCATTAAATTTAACAAGAAAATTATATATTCTCACAACAAATTTAATAAAAATTTTATATACTGTATTAACAAATTTTAATAAAAAATTACAAATCTAATATAATTATTAAAATTATAGAAAAATTTATTTAAATATAACAATAAATTAATAAAAATTATTTTTACTAATTCTTTGATAATATATAATAAAGATATTTATAAAAAATTTTATATTATATATTAATTAAATCTTATTGTTTTTCTTAAAATAATTTGAAAATAACTTTAATAATTATTCTTATTTTTCTTTATTATTTATATTTTTTTTTTATATAAAAACTTAACTATTGATAACTAGAAAAAATTAAAAAATATTTTTTATATCTATAGCAAGAAAGTTTAAAATAAAATTAATAATATAATATTAAAAATTTTTCTTTTAAAACAAGTATATTATTATTATTTTTTTTTTTTAATTAGCTTATAATTATATTATAATAACAAATAATAATGAAAAACTCTTTCTATTGATTATTTTTTTTCTTAAAAATATTCTTTTTTGATAATTTTTTTTTTTAAAAAAAAGTCAATTTAAAAATTTTATACTATTCCAAATTAATAATCAAATAATAAATTATAATATTTAATTATATTTTAAGAGATCAATTTATCAAATAAAAAGTTTAAAAATTATATATTATTTCTTTAACTTTATTTTTGCAAAAGAAAAAAATAGATTAATAAACTAATTTATAGTAAGTTTAAAAGAATTTGTTATCAATTTTTTAAATTTCAAATCAAATTAATATCAATTTGTATCTTTTTAAATATTAAAAAGAACTTTATAATCAATAGTTTTTATTAATAAATTAGAAAAAACTTAAAATTTACAAGTTAAAAAAAAATTAAAAATAATAAATTATTTTAATTAACAAAACTATAAACTAAATATCAAAACAAATTATATAAATACAGTATATACGGTTGCTTCCAAAAGTTTGAGTCCACTTACTATGTTTTTATTATAAATTTCAACTTTGACAATTTTTA